CTATAGCGGACCAAATGAATATATTAGCACCTTGTATTTGCTATAGCGGACCAAATGAATATATTAGCACCTTGTATTTGCTATAGCGGACCAAACGGCTGGACAAAATTTGCTGATTTTTTTAAATCCATGGATAAATACCCTGTGGATGACATAGGCTCAAATAATTCAAATTTTATTTCCAAATTCGATTTTTTTAAGTGGGCACTTCAGCTTATAGTATTCAGTATAGTTCAAAAAACAATATAAATAATGAAGCAGTGCGTATTTGCGCAATAGAGGTATATGAAGATACATAGAGTAAACATATTATAATATCTTTAAAGAAATCTTCTCAACAGCTATCTACTTATGTATCTGTACTGGCTCGGCAATGAAATATAAATTGCCTGCACATAAAATCTTAAAGATCTTAAGCTGTAATGGGTGGGTCGGTGTTACCTTTAAAGGGACATACCGGTTATATAAGGTAGTTGAACTTCGAGGATGCAGTGTTGTGGACAAGTTCTTTAGGATTCATTTGAGACATATAAAACTTTCTAAAGATCTGTAAATCCTGATTTTGAGCGCAAAGTCGACGTTCAAAATCGTACTTTTGGGTGAATACGTTTTCAAAATTGCTTTTTTTTAAATTATTAAATAACGACGACCAAAAATGTAAACAATTAGTTGTTTAGGAACAGGTTGAGAAAATAAAAATTAATCCTATCATCGAAAATAAGTAATCTTGTTCAATTATTAGTTTCTTTTTTCTCATTATTGACAAAGATGTTCTGGAATTACTATTGAAAAGACGACATTTGAAGAATTAGTAGAAATCTGCGAATAAATTCATAGAAAATAAGAAGTTCAATATAATGATGAAAACGAAATATTAATTTTGAGAAATATGTTTCTAACCATCTTTAAGTTTACTGAATAATTTTTACTTTATTTTTCGTCCACCCAAATTCATGATTTTGAACGTCGACAATGCACTCAAACTCAGTAATTATACATCGTGTAAAAGTTTTATATGTCTCAAATGAATCCTTAAGAATTTTTCCACAACACTGCATACTCAGTTTAACTACCATACATAGCCGGTCTGTCCTTTAAACTAAATCTCTATTACTTGCACTACTGGCTGGGTGTTAATTATTTTAGATAATGTTATGTTACTTTTCCAGTTTATTTTGACGACCACTGTATATTTCGTGATGAATAGTGAATTTTTCAAGAGGAACAACTTTTAGTTCTCAGATACATAAAATATAGATTGCATGTCACTCAATTCAAAAAGTAACCTGAGGTGAAAACTTTAGAATGGTGGATATCTTTTCTTAATATCGAGACTAATCTAATCTTGTACTTAAATCCTGAAAAGTGTATAAAATTCAACCAAGTGGAGTCGCGTATACGAAGCTGATAAATTTGAAATTTATAGCGCTATTTAAGATTATATACAGAAATGGGAGGAACTCCCGAAGTTTAAAAAACGGTTTTTGATTTTTCTCTACTATATCCAAGAAAGAACGGTTTAAGAAGAAAATCAAAAGTGTGTCCATAGGATACTCAGATTAAGCAATCGGGATTAAGGATATCTCATTCTAAATTTTTCAGCTCTGAACTTTATAAACGCAATTCTAAATGACTTCATATAAACGACTTGTACACCTCAAACCACACTTTTTCATATTCAAAGAACTTAAAATATTTCGTGCTTTTGTTTCTTGTGTTAAAACGGTCTGGGTATAATGTTTATCCGGATAGTTTTCATTACAAATATTTAAAGGATTCATTTTTTCATATGTAATTTAGCCAGAAAACCGTTTTCCCGCATTTTCGTAATTTTCGTCACGAAATTGATCTGAAAACTGTTTGAAACCCTAATAAATTATTATTAAACTATTGACCTCAGTTTCCTCTGGAGAAAGTTTCTCCCCTAGAGTTTGCAGAACAGCGGTCAAATCTAAATAAAAGATGTTTTTTTTATTTAGATCTCTCTTCAAAATATGTTTAAATCTTTTGTTGGACCGAATTGAAACAAATCTAATAAAACAAATGGTTTTAAATAAATCTCTAGAAAATTTTCCATCTGTGCAATGTTTTCAAAATTAATGAATTCAATTAACACTGATCCTAATCTACGAAAATCTGCTAAATTTTGCTAAGATTCTTTTTAAAAATTCTGAGAGGTGTATGTGAATACAAACATGAGCTGGTTTGTTTTGTCTTTAAATCTATTTTAGTTTATTGTTACTCTGATTATACCCATTGCAGAAACATTTAACATTTTCCTACCTACCAATCAACCCAATTAAATATGAATTCTATGTATTTACCCAAATATTGTTAAATTTCGGACCAACTAAACAAAACAACCTAACCTGGTAAGGCGGGTTGATAATGATTGTCTGTTTGTAAAATCTGATATAATTTGTATCTTATTAAATATGAAATAGTAAGAGAAGAAAACAACAAACACTTAATAAAAACTTTTTTTTTTGAGATTAGAAGTAAATTTTATTTTTTGAAACATTGAATTGAAATCCATAATTAAAATAAATTTGTCAACTCTTTTCATTTTTTAGAGTATCTATATATAAATTTGGCTTGTCTGTTAACTGTTTGTATCCAATAAACGTCAAAACGGCTAAACCGATCAGGCCCAAATTTTGTGTGGGATCTCACATGGCCCCAGAGAAGGTTTATGAATGATCAATATTTCAAAAATTTGTGTTTAAAAGTTTTTAATTTTTGTAAAATTTTGAAAATGCGCGAAAAAATATTATGAAATCCGCAAACTTTTTTGTTTTTTTTTGTTTTATACTGTAAAGATGTTCAGAGAAGATGTTCAGAGATAAAGCCACAATTAAAAGTTGAAATAGAAGATGGGCGCGAAGCGCCCTATAAGCCTAGTTATTATTAATTTAATTACAGATTGAAATTAACTGCTAAAACCGACACAAATCATCTTTTTGAAATTTAAATACAAATTTAAATGAATAAGTTTTAATGTCATAAGATTCGGATTTTGTAATTATAACAAGTCTTTGTCCAAAGGAGATCCTTTAAATGCAATGTTTAATCAAATAAAAATTTTAAACATCCTCAAAAAAATATTTAATACGGCAAATTTCAATTTTTCATGATATTTAGGGTGAATGTTAATAAAACCTAGAGATAGGAATAAACCTAAAAAATGTATATTCTGAAACCTTGTTGTTAGATAGAAGTATTCTGAAAATAGAACTTGAGCTTCTTTTATTGTTTTGCAGAAAGCCATGTTTTTATTCTGAATCAGAGGATGTTGTGTCAGTTGGGTTTGATTGAAAATCTTTAAAATTAATTAGAAAAATTCCTGGCTCGTATTTTATCGTAAAATTGAGGAAAATAGAAGATTTTAACAAATTTGAAATTTTTCTAATGAAAAACCTCATAAAATCCGAAAATCAATGGAAATTCCAGAAGTGAGGAAGCATCAAATTTTATTTAAATCATTTCAATTTAAATGTCAGTTTATTTAACTATTTTATACATTTTTCTAGTCTAAACTAAACTTTCTTTAAAGGAACAGGGCTAAATAAATTCTCTGAAATTTACAGGACACACTTTAAGTGAGCAAGTTTGTTGTAGGAAAATGTCGGCGCAGTAGCCAGAAAGGAAATTTTTATTTCTATAAATGACGCTGGTTATCTCATTGTTCAATGTTTATATATATATATATATATATATATATATATATAACGGTTTGAATAGTTAATATTTCAGTTGTTAACAAGGTTGTATAATAAGGTTGGTTATTCTCGATCTATATTAGGAGACAACATTTTCCGTACATTAAAAGCGCATCGAGAGTAACCAACCTTATTATACAACCTTGGTTGTTAATCTTGTGAAACTTTTTCATGGATAATTACTTGAAATAACGTGAACAGTCTCTTTAAACAATGAAAATCAGGGGTATGATATACAATAGTAGTTACTGGTAACAACATTTATTCAGAGATATTTGTTTATTAGCAAGATGTCTACAAAAAAGCTAAATAAAACGTAATCGTTATTGTTTCTCAGAAATTGTTATCCATGTTATCCCTTTATTCTCTTGCTCCTTGTATTTTCAAACTATATTCCTATATTCTGGGACACCCTATTGTTTTAATAAATTATAACTCTGAGACACCTTGAAACATAAATTATATCCCTGTAAGGCTGTATAGTGTATTGTATACCTAGAGCAGTTATGAATCCGTGACCTTCTCTATCAAAAACACGAAATGCCTCACTAAAAATTTTAAAATATTAAAATAAATTTGTTTTTGGTAAATACCGGGTGTCCTACGAAACATGACTTTAGCAAGATAACTTGTAGGTCGTCTTTTATCTTTGAAATAATATGCGTACTTTACTCTTAAACCTAATTTTACGAGTAAAATTCTAGAGTTAATAAATAATGATAAAAAATACCCATAGTCTTGGCATTTTCAAAATGTGGTCTGATTTCATTATTACCGGAGATATGAAGAATTTTATTTAGATTTGGACATTATTGGTTTAAAATTGAATACTGAACAGAATCCTTAGTATCTCCAGTAATATTAACAACACAAATTTGGTTGACCACATTTCAGAAATGACTCGATGATTTTTGTGGTTTTCGTTTTTCAATAATCATTGACGACTGAATGTCACAAGGTTGTATAATAAGGTTGGTTACTCGACCGCTTCAATGTACGGAATATGTCGTCTCCTAAGATAAAAACTATAATTTGACGTCACTGGATATAGAGGCGAGAGTTACGTCATTTTAGGTTTTTATCTATCTATCTGAGGTGACGACATTTTCCGTACATTGGAGCGCATCGAGAGTAACCAACCTTATTATACAACTTTGAAATGTCAAGAACAAATTTAAAGATTAAAGACAAATTTCAAATCTTCTTGCTACTTTCATGCTTAGTGCCACACTCTGTATTAGGCTGAAAAAGTGCAGCATCAGTTTATTTTAATCAAAGCTAAACAGATATCCTGTGACATTCTTACTTTAAAATTATTTTTCTAGGTTCCAAAACTAAAATGATAAAAGTTATAAAAACACCGATTAAGCGAAGTGAAGAATGAATTATATTCTATCATTAAACATTCAATAAAGTCAATGTAAAAAAGATAATTTTTGTACCGTATTTCTTCTTCTATATCAGTATCATGGATTTCCCTAAATAAAATATTTAAAATTAAAAGTAAAATATAATAGTTACTAATCTCTACTAGATCAAGTTTTTATCTATGTCTGTTCGTAAGTCACAATTCGATGTACAAACCGCTAAAGTCGATGTATGCACACTGAATTGTGTACAATAATATGTACACATATTATTGATTTAATATGAGTATATAAATGCAAAGAGATGTTTACCAAAGAAAAGGTTTGTAGGGTTTGTCAACGAATAAAGACGGGTCTAAAATTACTTTTTTTGTACAGTCCATCTTATAAAATTGTGAATGTTAAGACATCAAGTGTGTTATTGATGCATTAATTAAGCAAATAATTTTACCAGTGATTTAAAAATAAAATCACGGAAAACTTTTTCATACAGTGTTAACCAGAAATCAGTGGAATACATTGACGCCATCTTACTTTCTTTTTTATTACAAAATATCATACTTTTAAAATTTGAATAGCGTGTATCAGATGTTACAATATTTAAAATCAAACAAAGAAAATATACGATAATCGTTCCAGAGTATTCTGGTTACCCCTGTATACTCTTTATACATGTCTAGCTTCCTGATAGTTCATGATGACATTTACTTGCATAATAAAACTAGGGGGAGTTATTTATTAATTATTTAAAAACTATTGATTCGTAGAAGCATTTCAGGAATACACGATTACCTATAAATTAAGGAAATACAAAATAAATAAAAATAGACTTTTTTGGAAATATTTTTATTTTTACAGTATCATTTACACCATTTATTGTAATATTGTAGCATAATCTTAAATCTTTAAAGTCTAGAATTATTTCCTTGGTTAACAAATAAACAAAATTGATTTAACATCTTTTCAATTTACTTCTTTACTATACCTAGTCATCAGCCACACAAATTCATTAAAGCTGATACATCCATTCCCATCCTGATCTATCTCATTAATCAGCTCCTAGACATTCATTCATTCATTCCCATCCTGATTTATCTCATTAATCAGCTCCTAGACATTAATCCCTTAACATTATCCTGATCCAACTGATTGAACCACTTCTTAAAAAGAGGAAAGGATGGTTTCAGGGTAGACTGCCAAATATAGTTTAACTCCTTAACATTTATTCATTCAACCATTGTCATTTATTTCTTCAACTATCCTAGAAATGGATCCATTTATTTATCAAAACTCTTCATTTTTACCCGTGGATATTCATCATCCAATTCTTTTTATTATCAACCTGTATTGTATATTGATTAATTCAATTATCTAGCTTTCTAGCAGCAGTGTAATTAACTAATTACAAGAAATAACAGATCATTTGTTTACTAATACATTTAATCAAAATAGTGATTATAAAATGGTATCTTTACACACATTTTTATATACTTTTTTTACATATTTTACTTTGCTTTCATTAACAAATAAGAAAATAATAAGAGTATTCTCGCTAAGCTTAGCATTTTTACTTCAAACAGCCTGTTTCTGAATTAATTAAGTATATTTTATAAAGCCTAATTTTTGGTTCCATATAAAAATTTATAAAAATCGTAATTTTAATGAACTCTTTATATGAAAAGAGTCAAAAAAAAAACTTACTTGTGAATTTCTACAAAAAAAGAGATATAATAAAGTAACTCGCGAGATTAGCCTTGAAGTTGACCTCGTTTAATTTCTGAATTCTTCTTCATATAAAGACTGATTTGTTCACTGATCCCTCAGTAAAAGACTGATTTATTGACTGATCCCTCAGTAAAAGAATGATTTGTTGGCTTGTTTCCCTGTAAAGCTGTAAAAAGACTATTCCCCCTGTAAAGCTGTCAAAAAAAGCTTATTTATTGACTGGCCCCCCTGTAAAGCTGTAAGAAACTCATTTATTGACTGGTCCCCCTGTAAAGCTGTAAAAGACTGATTTGTTGGCTCTGTAAAGCTGTAAAATGGCTGATTTGTTGACTGGTCCCCCTGTAAAACTGTTAAAGGCTGATTTGTTGGCTGGTCCCCCTGTAAAGCTGTAAAAAGACTAATTTGTTGGCTGGTCCCCCTGTAAAGCTGTAAAAATACTGATTTGTTGGCTCTGTAAAGCTGTAAAATGACTGATTTGTTGACTGGTTCCCATGTAAAGCTGTAAAACGACTGATTTGTTGTCTGTTCCCCATAAAGCTGTAAAAAGACTGATTTGGTGGCTGGTCCCCCTGTAAAGCTGTGTAAAACGACTGATTTGTTGACTAGTCCCCCTGTAAAGCTTTAAAAAGACTGATTTGTTGACTGGTCCCCCTG